ATATATATATATATATAGCTTGTGCACACATACATAATTATATATATATATATATAATCGTATCACTATTGATACTACAGCTAGCTTTGTTGGGATGATTCAGGGTCTGGTTCCTTAACAGGATTGTGTAAAAGGATCGGATATAGTTTGGGCTCTGGCTTGGGATAGTATATTCAATATTGTAGCGTAAGATTAGTTCCAAAGCTAGATCTGGTGCAGATTTAACAAACCCTAAACCCCGGGCCCTATGCCCTAAACCCCTATAGCTAGCTACATAGACCCTTCGAATTCATAGAACCTAAACCCCTACAGCTAGTTATTTGGAGTACTGTGCCCCTTAAGATGAGTTGCGAAAATCCTGGGAGCTACGGCGGCCGCGAACATAGAAACCACTTGCTGAGGAAGTTCTGGATGCATCCGATGGTGCTGCCGATCCCTTCGAGTCTTTGCTGAGTTCGAGGGATTCATTTGCAGCCTTGGACCTTTTCGCAGGAGGGCTTTTGGTGGGGGTCCAGGCGAAACTAGGATGCGAGGTAGGTGGCACTTCGGTGTTCTCCTTTCCCCTGGATCGTGCTGCTCGGGCCACAGGTTCCGGAGACTTCGTGCTTGCACGTGGCCCCTTAGTCTCAGCATCTTTGATCTTTGCATTCGTAGCAGCTTTGGCAGGATACTGCTGACCTAAGATGTTCTATGGCATAAAAAACGTACATATCGACGACGTGTCCTATGTTGTCATGTCATGTGATCATCTACAAGTACAGCATATGTGCAACCCAGTGACCCGGGTTGGCCATTCGAAGCGCAGCACGAACTTCGGCAGCAACAGAGGACCCCTGAATTTGGAAAAAAAACGAGGTACATGCAGGTCTGTGCTTGAGATCCTGATCCTTGCTGCCCAGGAACTACTGATTCCGACGACGGCCGTCTGGAGAGCTGCGAATCCACCGAGGCCTTCCTTTCAAGGGGGCCTGCAGCAACCTTCTTTGTGTAGGGACCAGGCCTCACCCTCTGGCTGTCTTTGGACAAGCTCATCAGGCCCTACCTTGGCCCCTGCACCAAAGGGCCTCGAAAAGCCACTAGCACAAAAGAGCCGGCACCTGGTTTCGGGCCAATTTGCGGGCACACAGGGTCACGTAAATTCACGCCCAGTTCTTTCAGAGAGAGGTTTTTTCACGCAAATTCACGCTAATTCACGCTCGGGCGTGACCACCGTGATTTCGGCACACGTAAGCACAGCACCCAGGATTTTCGGCACACGGAAGCACGAAACTGCTCAGGGAGATTGCTCTTTCCCTCTAATTGTACCAGCACCTGGAAAAAACACTCTGGGGAAGGATAGTAATTGGTTTACATAAGCAAGCGTAGCTACACTGGTCGAACAAAGCACACAGGAGCAAGGTTTTGGGTGAACTTATAATATAATATAGCTTGTAGGGTCCAAGTACACATCATTTAAAGACATTTGTGCCTTTCTGGGTACCTAAATCCCTAAATAAGGACTACTATTGGCCATATTGTGCGGGGATGCGGAAAGACAATTCTGAGGGTGTTGTCTTGTCCTAGATCTGCTATACCTATTTATAATTATACCCCAAGGGTCCAAGCACCTAGCAACCATGTGCTCTCCCAAATAGTCACCTACATAACTACTATCCGAAAACTAAGTACCCAATTATTGGGTCCTTTGGACCCTTCTAGGGTTATATACTTCTAAGTTAATTAATTATATAATTATTATACTATACATGATGCTCTATCATGATCGATGCTAAGGAGGAGGGTAGATCTAGATAGTTCGGTCAGGTTTGTACTACACTTATAACACAGACCTCCGGTGTCTATACACTAATAATTAATTACAAGAAAGCTTGACTGATGATCGGTGGTAGAACAGCATTCCAGGGAAGGTCTTTTCCAGGCCAGGCTTGACATGTGGGCATGCCCCACACTAGTTGTGTTTGCAGAGCTAGCAGCTGGAGGCTGACATGCATATACCACCCAAGAAACATTGCTAGGGAAAGGGTTGAGGTTGCAAGACACCTTAATGTAGTATCGTACGAGTAGCACTGCCAGTAGATGTACGACTAGCATCGAAGCCTCGCTAGCAAGGGGCCCACTTCACTACAAAATCGGCCCGAGGCTCCGTGGCAGATCCGGCGGTGGGCTCCAGAAGCCTTGATCTTCGACTGCATCGAGGAACTCTTGCAACTCTGCAAGATTTGCTTCTTTCCATTCCAAGGATAGGGGTGGGACCTGGTTCAGCATAGCATATGTAGCTTCCGGAGATTATGTACACATGCATGTACATATATCAGCACGGGAGAAAATATTGCATATCCAAGCCACCATCATATCTCCAGCAACGAGTGCATCGTGCAGGGAGTAGAGGGCCAGGCTTCGATCAATGTCGGCACCGTGCCGGCCAGCCTCAAACCAGCAAGGGAACCCGATGTCTAGACAGCATACATGCATGATCATGGTACAGATTGCATCCTAGCCACCAGCATTCCCGTATGAAGTTCAGCCACTCGAACCCCAAAGTCGATTGGATATGCACCCGACTTCTCCAAGCCGGCTTTGATACCAGTCCTGGGCATAAGGAACCCCATGACACTCATAACACATCAGCTAGGGGTTCCAGAAGGCTGTTGTGGCTGTCTGCAGCAGGATATGTACATACTAGTACGAGTACGNNATATATATATATATTATTATATTATAAAATATTATTATGCTACTTTAAGATCATGTATATATATCGAATCGAATTAAAATAAATAAATAAATAAATAAATAAATCAATAAATATATATTTATTTATTTATTTAAAATTATATATATATCCTAGATCCGATCGAGAAGCACTTTCGTCTTGCCACTGCCGTCTTTGGCGATGGTTCGCTTTACCAGGTACATGTGCATGTCTCTTGCTCTCCTTCGGATGCGCTCGCGGTCCGTCTTCTTGAGTTGGTTCTTTAGCTGCATCACCCAAGGCCTCGTATGATTCGATGAAACACATCCTATATGTTATCTGTACTTGCACCACTGCTCACTCCCGAGGCACGCAGATCCGAAGCCAATAGACGGCTTGCAGCACCAATGGTTATAGAGTCCCATCCACCTCAGGCTTGATAATGAGACGTGTTTTATTTACTGGGTTTAGGGTTTAGGGTTTAGGCTTTAGGGGTTCAGGGTTCATTTAGGGCTTAGGGTACATATGTATATACCGGGCATGCAACGGGACATTGCAGAAGCACCATGGGTAAATGCATACAAGCAGCCATCTCACCCTGTTACAGTCCGCAAAAGCACAGTTCAGGGTCTTTAGACGCTTTGCGTACTCGAGGTAGGGAAAGAACTCGAGGGTAGACAGGCAGGGTTGCTCGATGAACCAAAAAACGCCACGGGCTATGGCTATCATGACAAGCAAAAGAGCCCTGCAAGATAGCAGGTTGCCGAGCTCCACAGATGCTAAATCTCGCCGGCCAAACGGGTGCTCGCTTGATCTCTTGTGCGTCCCCTTTGCCATCCAGCAAAAAGAGGCACACGGCACGCCTAACCATAGCAGCCCTCCGCGACGAATACGAAGCACTCTTTGGATCGCTAGGATAAACCCGGGGATCGATGATAGATCTTCATCAGCATTGCGAAGACAGTCAAATTCCATCCTCAATAGTGCCAATGCAGTCGATAATTATAATTCAACTTCAACACACAACACCCGTCGGGTTGCTAGCCTGGGCTTCTAGATGCTGCCCAGGTGCGCTTTGCACCCCTTGGATCCTGGCTTGCTGTGGCACTGGGACTTGGATGATCATTTACCCCACCCCTTGGATCCTGGCTTGCTGTGGCACTGGGACTTGGATGATCATTTACCCCAGCTCCATCTGTTGAAGCCCTAAGCCCCACATATTACCAAAAATACAGATTATGACAGGGTTTAGGGTTAGGGTTAAGGGTTTAAGGTTTAGGATTTAAGGTTTAGGGTAGGATTGGCACTGGGACTTGGCTGATCATTAACCCCACCTCCATCGGTTCAATGAATCCAAACCCTAAGCCCGACCCCTATAATTTATGACTATAGACAACCCTAGATCTAGGTGTGCAACCTAGTAGGTCCCCTAGAGAGTAGACGGATTTTCGTCACCAGCTACAGAGGCAACTACAGCTTCTGGGTGCAGGGCCATGGCAATATTGAAATTTGATTGTATATATACATTGCAAACCCCTGGGCAATCTGAAGCAGCTTCAAACTGGGGATGGGATATCGTTTTAGGGTTTAGGGTTTAGGGTTAAGGTTGAGGGTTCAGGGTTAGTCGTTCCAGAGCTAGTGGATCGTGTGATGAACTCATCCCCAACGGTTCCAAGGACCCAAGAATCAGGTACGTCTTAAGATGGGAGAGTAGTATCGTATTAATATAATACCAGTTGTACGCTACCTAGCGAATTAAAGGATCTAGGGTCTATTAACGGTACCGGTACGACTGGGACCCTATTTTGTTTAGCCTAGCTTATTATTATCCCCAATGGTCCAAAGGACCCAATAATCAGGTACTTAGGTTTCGGATAGTATGTAGCATGTGGGAGAGGTACTTGGACTCTTAGGGTGTTATATCGGATCGGAGGAGATCTGTGGAAGCAGTCCTAAATTTCGTCGATTTAAACCCTTTGGTTGGTGATAGCAGATCTAGAGTTTACCGGTGCAGATAAGGAGAGCTGACCACGATGGTGTATGACCGCACCTCCTCTGCAAGTTCGGATGCTAGCTAGCTGTCATCAGCTTCGAATACTGCCGGCTTAAGATCTAATCGATACCTGGATCTATCTAGATCTGCCGCCTGAAAGAAATGTCGCTTTCCTGCATAACAGACGAGTGCTATGATCAGCAAACATCTGCCGTGGAAACAGATTCCCGCAACCACGGGTTGACTACAGGATAGCGAATTGTTTGTGGCCTTGTTGTAGCAGAAGGGGCGTACCCGCAGCCCACCTCTCCGATCAGGTGGGACTGCTCTGCCAAGGCTTTCAGGATGTTATTTATTGTGTGATAGCACATACATAAGCTATAGTACAATGAGCCCTAGCTGCCCTAGCTCCGCTTCGATCAACACAAGCCACTTCGATCAACACAAGCCAATCTTGGGATGTTGCTCTCCTGCAGAACAGACGAGTGCTATGATCAGCAAACATCTGCCGTGGAAACAGATTCCCGCAACCACGGATTGATTCCAGGAGAGCAAATTGTTTGTGTTGCCTTGTTGTAGCAGAAGGGGCGTACCCGCAGCCCGCCTATCCGATCAAGCGGGACTGCT